ACATTCAAACACACCTGCAAATCCCTGATTACTGCTAAATGTGAAATTTGGTCCAAAAAAAAAAAGATTTTTCAATCCATATTAATATCCATAATTAAAAGCTCCTATAGAACTTCATATATACTCTTATAGCATGCTTTGTTTACCTGTGGTATATCAGGTTTTAATGTTTTCAGTTCTCAGTTACTTGTTCAGGTTAAGTTTACCTAACTGGGTACAGTTACCTCAAGCTACATAATCAGGCAAAGAAGTTTTAATTTTCCCAAGGACACCTCCGATTTCCACAGTCAAAATGTCCTCTTGTTATAACCCTGTCAATTCCAAGGCCTTCACTCTACTAGGGAATTTGTCAGCTGGCATTTGACAATGTTTCCTTCTCCCAGGCTAGGGTAGGGCACTTGCAAAATAAATGGTGGAGCATTGTTAAAGGCAATTTTATCTTTCAGTTCTTAAAAATACAGACAAATTCTATTACAGCTTTAGTGGGACTACTGGTAATAACCAAAAAAAGTTGATGGAAAGGAGATATGGNGATAAACATTCAAACACACCTGCAAATCCCTGATTACTGCTAAATGTGAAATTTGGTCCAAAAAAAAAAAAAGATTTTTCAATCCATATTAATATCCATAATTAAAAGCTCCTATAGAGCTTCATAAATACTCTTATGGTATGCTTTGTTTACCTGTGGTACATCAGGTTTTAATGTTTTCAGTTCTCAGTTACTTGTTCAGGTTAAGTTTACGTAACTGGGTTCAGTTACCTCAAGCTACATAATCAGGCAAAGAAGTTTTAATTTTCCCAGGGACACCTCCGATTTCCACAGTCAAAATGTCCTCTTGTTATAACCCTGTCAATTCCAAGGCCTTCACCCTACTAGGGAATTTGTCAGCTGGCGTTTGACAATGTTTCCTTCCCCCAGGCTAGGATAGGGCACTTGCAAAATAAACGGTGGAGCATTGTTAAAGGCAATTTTATCTTTCAGTTCTTAAAAATACACACAAATTCTATTTACAGCTTTAGTGGGACTACTGGTAATAACCAAAAAAAGTTGATGGAAAGGAGATATGGTAGCTTTACAGGGCGTGATGTTCAGTTTGGAAGCACTGGGCTGTTGTTATTTAATTGTAATGTTTAATAGAGAACAGATCCTGTAAATACACTTGTCTCAATTATCACTGGAATTCAAGCATTGAAACATGGGCATAAAGTCCCTCACAAAATTGAATGCCAGTTGTTGCATTACTTGTCAAGTTTTGTTATACAGTTGGAACCCAATTTGAACTCAATTATTTGGAATTTTGGTTATTTTGAACTCAAAACCATTTCCCTTCTATTTTCCCTTCAGTCATTTACTATTGCTCTTTTGAACTCCTGCTATTTTGAACTAATTTTCATTTCCCTTGAGAGTTTGAAATAGTTATGTTCAACGGTAATTAAGGGAGATATATTGCTTCTAAAAACCATGATTACAGGTAGTGATTAAAATCCATTCATTTGTGAACAATTATTGCTCCATCGTCAATCAAAAGAGATCTTGTCCCATGGGTCGGGCATTTTCAGTCTTCCCGGCGCTCCACCATGGGGATTTGCACAAATATTCTTGCACCACCATGGGTCATTTGCAATACATTTTTCTGGACAAAGAACAAA